CCATTCGACAGGCCAGTGCCTGGTTTGCCCTCTGCCTCTGCTGACCCTCAGAGAAATCGCACCCTGTGCTTTGTGCTCAGTGCTGACTCTCGAGTCCGAGCAGGAGCTGTCCGCCTTGCCAGGAGGGTTGCTGGCCCTGGGCCAGTTCCAGTGTGGGGAGGTGGTCAGGGTCAATTCCAGCGCACCCGGGGCCGGGGCGGGCCTGCTTCTCTCCGGGGAGGCAGTGTGACTGCATGGTCCCTCCTTGCAGATCACCATCTATGAGCTGGAGAACTTCCAGGGCCGGAAGTTGGTGCTGACCGAGGAGAGCCCCAACGTGACGGAGAAGGCGCTGGAGAAGGTGGGCTCCATCCAGGTGGAGTCGGGCCCGTAAGTACCCAAGGCCGGGGCTGAGCGCTGTTGGGGTAGGGGCAGGGGGACGCGGCTTGGCTGGCACGGGGGAGGAGAGGGCTGCTGGCTAGTGGGGTCCTGCCTTCCAGCCCCTGGGCCTGGCATTGACCTGGCTTCTCCTGGCAGGTGGCTGGGCTTCGAGCGCCGGGCGTTCGCCGGGGAGCAGTACGTGCTGGAGAAGGGAGACTACCCGCGCTGGGACGCCTGGTCCAACAGCCACAGCAGCGACCGTCTCATGTCCATCCGCCCCCTGGGCATCGTGAGTCGCACCTGCACTGCCCCAGCTGGCTCGCGGGGTTGGGGAGGGGGTCCCTGGGAGGCTCATAGATTCATAGATTCATAGATTAAGGGTCGGAAGGGACCTAGTAGATCTTCTAGCCCGACCCCCCGCCAGGGCGGGAGAACAAAAAACCCCAAAAAGAGAAACGGGACTCAAATGAGTCCAGCCAGGTAGGCATCCAGCCTCTTCTTAAAGACCCCCAGGGTAGGGGCCAGCACCACTTCCCTTGGAAGTTGGTTCCAGCTCCTAGCCGCCCTAACTGTGAAGTAGTTTTTGCGGATGTCCAATCTATACCTCCTCTCCATCAACTTGTGCCCATTACTCCTTGTTATGCCAGCGGGCGCTAGGGGAAACAGCGTCTCCCCCAAACCCTTCTGGTCCCCCCTAGTGAGTCTATAGACAGTCACCAGGTCCCCCCTCAGCCTTCTCTTGTGGAGGCTGAATAGGTTCAGGTCCCGCAGTCTCTCACTGTAGGGTCTGCCCTGTTGTCCCCGGATCATGCGGGTGGCCCTCCTCTGGACCCTCTCCATATTGTCCACATCCCTCTTGAAATGGGGCGCACAGAACTGGACACAATACTCCAGCTGTGGCCTGACCAAAACTGCTCCCTGCCTTCTCCCTGTCCCCCCCCCAGGGTTGGGGGCTGGCCGGGACAAGGGGGTCGGGCTGTGGCCCCTTGCCAGCCTGGGTTTCGCCGTGCGCTGTTGGCAGGATTGGGGGCTTGGACCTGGGGCACCTGGCACCACCTCAGTTTGGGAAGGTGCTTGCCCCGTGTCTCCCCTGGCCGTGGCGCGGAGGGGCGCGCTCACCAACACAGCCTTTGCCCCGCAGGACAGCACCGACCACAAGATCCACCTGTTTGAGAACCCCGGGTTCACCGGCAGGAAGATGGAGATCGTCGACGACGACGTCCCGAGCCTCTGGGCCCATGGCTTCCAGGACCGCGTGGCCAGTGTCAAGGCGCTGAAGGGAACGTAAGGCCGGGCTGTGGGGGCCGGAGTGGGTGCTGCCAGGCTGGGGGGTCCCTGCCTCGGTGATGTGATGGATGGAGGGACTTGGCAGGGCGGGAAGACGTGGTCACCACGATCCAGTCTGAACCCGGGGGAGGCGGATACGTGAGCACATCAGAGCCCAGGTCTGTTGTGCCCGTCTCCTGCGGCACGGGGCACTGAGGGGAGAGCTGGGTCTGAGCAGGGTTTCCCCCCGTTCCTCCTCCCTTGCTGCCTCCAGCATCCTTCAGCATTAGGACATTCGCTCCCGCACCAGGGCTTGGTTGGCGGGGGACCGGGTGCTGCCTCGAGAGCAGGACTCCCAGCCC